TGATTGGGTTTTTATTTGGGGGGCCTAATTTTTGCAAGTTCTTTACATATTCTAGGTTAGTCCTCTGTCTGAAAAATAGCTGACAAGATCTTTCCTCATTCTGTAGGTGTTCTTTTGAGTCTGTTGGTTGTTTCTTTTGGTGTGGAGAAGTTTAATTTGATATGATCCTATTTGTTGATTCTCAGTACTATTTCCTGTGCACCAGAGATTTTGTTCAGAAAGTCCTTGCCTACACTTATGACTTCAAGTATTTTACCTACTTTGTCTTCCAGTAGGTTAAGTGTCCATTTTAACATTCAGTTCTTTGACCCACTTTGATTTTATAAGTGGTGAAAGTATAGTATAGTACATGGTGAAAGATCTGAGTCTACATTCAGTTTTTAGCATGTGGATAGCCAGCTTCCCCAGCACTGTTTATTAAAGAGAATATCTTTCCTCTGTGTGTGTGTGTGTTTGACCCCTTTATCAAAGATTAGCTTATTGAATGTGCTTGTGGTTGTTTTTGAATCATCTATATTGTGTCATTGATCCTCACTGATCCTTATGTCTGTTTTTGTGACATTACCATGCTATTTTTAGGATGGTAGCTTTATAATCTAACTCCAGTTCAGGGATTGCTCTTTTTACCCAGGATTGATTTTGCTATTCTGTGCCTCTTCTGGTTCCATATGAATTTTAGAATTGTTTTCTTCAATTCTGTTAAGAATGCTGTTGGACTTTTGATTGGGGTTACATTCAATTTGTGTAACAATTTTGGAAATATGGCCATGTTGACTACATTAGTGCTGCCTGTCCAAGAACAGGAGATGTCTTTGCATTTTCTGACATCCTCTTCAACTTCATATTTTCAAAGAGCTGTAGTTTTCATCAAATAGGTCTTTCACTTTCTTAGTTGAATTCTTAAGTAATTTTTTTGTTACTATGGTGAATGGTTATTTTTTCCTAATTTTGTTCTCAGTGAGTTCATCTAGTGTACAAGAACATTGCTGATTTTTGTATGATTTTTGCATCTTGCTACATTACTGAATTGGTTGTTAATTGTAAGATTCTTTTGGTGGATTTTTTTGGGTCTTCTGTGTAGAAGACCATGGCATTCACAAATAATGATAATTTGATTTCTTCCTTTCATATATATATATATATATATATATATATATATATATATATATATATATATCCATTTTACTTTTTTTGTCCTGCCTAATTGCTCTTGTCAGTGTTTTGAATATTATATGGAACTGGAGTGGTGATAGTGAACATCCTTGTCTTGTTCCTGATTTTAGAGGAAATGCTTTCAGTTTTTCCCCATGTAATATGCTGGTGGTAGGTTTGTTGTAAATAACTTTTATTAGATTGAGATAAAGTCTTTTTATACCTATTTTCTTCAGTGTTTTTTTTTTCATCAAAAAATGATGTTGGATTTTGGTAGAGGTTGTTTTTGTGTTTATTGAGATAATCATGTTTTTTTGTCCTTGCTGCTGTTTATGTGATGTGTTATATTTTTGGTTTACACATGGCTAGCCATCCTTTGATCCCTAGGATGCAGTCTACTTGGTCATGCACTATGATCTTTTTGGTTATTTGTTAAGAATTTTTGCATCTATATTTATTAAAGAAATTGATCTATAGTCTCTTCTTTTGGTTAGAACCTTGTCTGGTTTTAGAATCATGGTAATGGTAGCTTCAAGGATAACTTTGGGAATGCTTGCTCCCTTTCAATTTTATTAAAATGCTTGAGGAGTATTGATCTTGGAACTCCCTGAAGGTGTTATAGAACTCAGCAGTGAACTCTTCTGCACCTGGACATTTTTTAGTTGGTAGGTTTTCATTACTGCTTCAATTTCATTCCCTGTTATTATATTACTTGAGATATTTTAATCTTGTTTTTATTTTGGTAATTCACATATATCTAGGAATCTGTCCATTTCTTCTGAATTTTCAAATTTATTGGTATATAGATCCGTGAAGTACTTGTTAATAATATTTAATTTCAGCAGTGTTTGTTGTGATTTCATTTTTTTCTAATTGCATTGACGGGTCTTTTCTCTCCTTTTTTGTTAGATTGGCTAACAGTTTGTCAATTTTATTTATTCTTTTGAAGAACCAACTCTTCAATTCATAAATTCTTTGTGGGTTTTATTTATATTTTTGCTCTCAGTTCCATTGATTTTTGCTCAATCTTTATAATTTCATTTGTTGTACTAATTTTGGGGTTTGGATTGTTCTTATTTCTCTAGGACCTTAAGGTACATCATTAAGTTACTTATTTTAGTTTACACTGTTTATGTGATGTGTGCATTCATAGGTATAATCCTCCCTTTTAGGACTACTTTCACTTTTAATTCTCACCCTGCTGATATGAAATAGAGTGACATTACTGCTGCTTAGTGCCTTTATCTTTGTTCTATCTCTCTTTTAGTGTATTACGTTGCTGCTTAGCTGAAAGGTTAAAACCTACATTTCTCAGACTTCCTTACAACAAGATTCTGAGTGTGACCTAACTGTCATTCAGCAGATGTGCCTCCATGGGAATCCAACATGAGGTAAGAAGCACAGGTCTGCCTTCCAGGTGCCACAATGGAGATATTTGTTGTTTTGCAGCCATGACAACAGGGTAGTTACAGAGGAGATGAGTGTAGACATCTATTTTTTTAGTGATGTGTTGTAGTAACAGTTTGGGTCCTCTAGATCCTAGCAGAAATGGTGTGAAATTATCAGCTGGGACAATGATTTCCTCATTCTCCTGAATTTGAATTGTGCCATAGGGATCAATTCCTGTGTTGGACCAGTGAAGCAAGATTTTTCTGGGTATCTTAAATTCAGAGCCAAAGACTGTTTTCCAGCTTTCACTTGCAAACTTTTATAAGCTTCTAATTCCCTGCAGTTCACCTCCATCTCTGTAGGCTAATCAGGATGGTTTCTGATGTTTAAAATTATAGTTTGACTGATTTGCTCATTCCTTCTTTTTTTTTATTTTAAAAATAAAAGGAGGAAAATATTAACAGACAGTCGACATTATACAAAATAGCAAAGGAGCAGTACAGACAGTACAG